CCCAAGGGCAAAAATCTCATTTTTGTCCCCTGACCATTCACAGTGGGTTTATGGGACTGTTTATTTAGCTATTAAATAAACAATGGTGCACCTCCCTCATGCAATGCACAGTACTTACGCAACTGCCTGGGAGCCAAAGATGCTTTCCCAAGAACAAGGGCTGTCAGGAGACCTGGGGCAGTTTTTAAAATGTTGTATGTCCCCTTGGTCAAACACTCCTATCCTTCAGCTACACAAGCTGGAAAGAGCAGAATTTGTCCCCAGGGATCCAGTTTTCTCCTTCTCATCTCTTCTCTAGTGTCAAAACTTTAATCCTATAATCAATAGATCAAAATGGAGTGGTCTCTGGGAAACTGCAGACAAATTATTGCCACTTAGCTGTTTAAAGTACAAGTTATCTGAAGTTTGGTTTTTAGTGATGGGAGGACTGGCTTTTCTAAAGCTGAAGAGAACTTTCTTCTGAAGTTCAGACTGGTTTTGAGTGGGACTCTGAAAAAGCTCTCTTAGTTTTCCTCTCCAATTTCTGGTTGGTGGTACCCCAGTCTTTCATACCATTCTAGATACTGCACTATCTATTTCTACCACTTAACGCATTGATTTTCCAGACTTCTTGAGAAAAGCTGCAGAACTGTTAGATTTACTGTTTTTCTTTGTCATCAGGTATTTGATATTTTCTGTCTAAGGTTTCAAGATCCTAGCCTGTGTGAAGAAGAAAATGCAGCTAGAGCCAGAAAGCAGTAGCAATCCTGCCAAAGAGCTCTTGTTCCTGAGATTCCCTCATTTTCTGGTCCTCGGATATATGCTGAGGGTCTGAAGGCTGGTTTTACCTGACCATCGAAGGCCAGCTGATATAAGAATACTGCTTAAGCAGAGCTGTAATATTTACCCTTGTTCTGCACTAGTGCTTAGTACTGTAGATTATAAATAGCATCTTGCACTGTGATCATCAGCCTAACATACAGCTGGAAAGTCTCCAGGAGCTTACGGCTAAGATCTCTAAAAACCTCTGCTACAGAAAGCCAAAACTATAGACTGCGCATGGGTAGAGGAGCTCACCAAGCCTCTACACCTCTTTTGGGATGGGCTCCTCCTGCCAAGGATGAAGGGCAGTCCAGAATGGGCAGCAGCCCGCCTCCTGGCATTGCCTCTGACTGGCTGCACTCTTTCTGAAATGCTTGCAAATCAAACTAAAGTGGTCTTCCTGGCTGGGGAAGTTAGCTGTAGCTTGGGATGCAAATGTGGGACAGGGAGACCTAGTAAGATTACTTGCTGGGATGGATGTGTGTGCGGCTTCAGACTTAGTCTTTGTTGAGTCCTTTTTCCTCCCTCATCCATGGATGGCAGGAGACTCCCAGGCAGGGGAGGTGTCCCTCAGCTGGGGTAGTCCTGTTCATTTCCCAGATCCATGTGGGAAGATGTGAAGAGAAAAGAACCCTTTTATCAGGGTAAAGCCTCAGTGGGGTCTGTATCCAAATAATTGCAAGCCCCTGTGCTATCCCCACCAGAAGATGTCTGCTCTGTTCCCAGGTGTTGCGTTCTCCCATTACCTTTGCTTTCTATTTCTCTTGCCTGTGCTTTACACATGTACAGAAAACTTCCCTCCTGGGAAGTCAGGAGGATATTCCTGCTCTAACCACTTGGCATTGCTATTCCCAGCACCTGGAGCCCCAGTCCCATCCTTGGCTGCCATGAAGTATGTAAAAATGCATTTTCCAGACACATAGGTCACTATCTTATCACTCACTGACACTCCATTGAAAAGCTTTGGATAATTTAAACAAAGACATCTTTTATGAGAGTTATTCATCAAAAAGCAAGCCATGTATGTAGGTGCATTTTGGCCATGCTCTCCCATCTTGCCTCAGTCCATGCCCTCTATCTTGCTGGCAGCATCTTCGACCAGTCACCCTTCCTGCAGGCAGCAGGCCCTACCAGGATGTGCATTGGCTACAACCCATCAGATATTGCTCTACCTGGAGTAGAAAACCCAGGAAGGCTCAGGCAGTGGCTCCCACCTGATCTGATACCCATTAAATGACTGTGCGCCCCTTCTCCAGCAAGCACAATCCGGGGGCTTGTCCCTAGGTGTGGCCTGGGCCAGGATTGTTTTCAAAGAGGGTTTGAGTTGGACCAGTCTGTTTTGCAGAGAAGGGTGTTTTTCGGCTGTTACATGAGGATGAGAGAACAACCTGTTTTATTTATTAATTCTGTTTATGTATTTATTAATTCTATTTATTACTAAAGACATAACCATAGCTGTAGGGACTAGACAAGCCCCATGAAGGCATTTCAAAACAGGCTGCATGTGTCTGGGAAGGGACAATTTGTGCAGGGAAGAAGGGAGCCTTTGAAAATTACAGATCTTGGGGGTTTTACGTTGAAAGAGGTGAGCAGATCCCACTGCCATTGCTGTGGGAGCAACACATGCGGCATGGCTGGATTATCTCGAGGAGACCGTGTGGAATTTTCCTAAGATTTAGGCAGCATAACACACTGGGACAGCAAATGAATGGAAGCAAATGATTCATTGTGCTAAATACCATAAAGCCAAGAAAACAGATGTCCTGGCTGGACTGAGAACAGAACAACACATTGTATTTAGTAGATTTATCAATAAAACAATTAATATTCTGTTCAGATTGTTGCAAGGTGAGGGGTTTTGGATTTTTTTAATTTTTTTTTTTGTCCTAAAATGTTATAACTAGATAAAGCATGACACCCTCCAGTAATAGTTACCAAAGTTCTTTCCAGACTGAAACTCTACCCACATGAAAAATAACACTTTAAATCTGAATATACTGAGATTATTACAGTACCATGCAGCTGATTCTTACCCATACATTGCCACTGACATCAATGAGACTGAATGGGTAAGAGTAAATTGAATATATTCAGAGCAGCCCTGCGGAGAAGGACTTGGGGGTGCTGGTCGATGAGAAAATGAACATGAGCTGGCTGCAGTGTGTGCTTGCAGCCCAGAAAGCCAACCGTATCCTGGGCTGCATCAAAAGGAGCGTGATCAGGAGGTCGAAGGAGGTGATCTTGCCCCTTAATTCTGCTCTCGTGAGACCTCACTTGGAGTATTGTGTGCAGTTCTGGTGTCCTCAACATAAAAAGGACATGGAGCTGTTGGAACAAGTCCAGAGGAGGGCCACGAGAATGATCAGGGGACTGAAGCACCTCCCATATGAAGACAGGGTGAGAAAGTTGGGCTGTTCAGCCTGGAGAAGAGAAGGCTGCGTGGAGACCTCATAGCAGCCTTCCAGTATCTGAAGGGGGCCTATAGGGATGCTGGGGATGGACTCTTCATTAGGGACGGTAGTGATAGGACAAGGGGTAATGGGTTAAAACTTAAACAGGGGAAGTTTAGATTGGATATAAGGAGGAAATTCTTTCCTGTGAGGGTGGTGAGGCACTGGAATAGGTTGCCCAGGGAGGTTGTGAATGCTCCATCCCTGGCAGTGTTCAAGTCCAGGTTGGACGAGGCCTTGGGTGATATGGTTTAGAGTGAGGTGTCCCTGCCCATGGCAGTGGGGTTGGAACTTGATGATCTTAAGGTCCTTTCCAACCCTAACTATTCTATGATTCTATGATTCTATATGGACCAGTGATTTTGTATTGGTGTAGAAAGCAAAACACTAAATTTAAAGTTAATACTGGCTGGAACAAGAGCCTCTTTTCTGGTGTTATATGTATAAAAAATGACATAAGCTTAGCACAAACGTTGCACATTTGTGCTAAAGTTTTGTTTCCAGAGCCTGATAGGGCTGCCTATACATGTGGATGCAGTCTGGTCCAGCAAGCTTATGTGATAAAGGTTCTGAGATGGCACCTGCCCTGTGTTAAACAACACCTCATTGGCACAGAATGATTTTGTGAAGAGCTAGCTGAAGGTTTCCTCCAAGCTGCACAGAGCAAATCTATGTGGACATGGTCTAGGTCTCCTGCAGGTGGCCACTAAGGGATCTGCTTGGCTCCCAACAGAGGAAGGGTTGGTGAGACTCTTCATAGGGACATTCTGACCTGCTTTCTTCTGGAAAGTGTTTAAGGGCAAATCGAAGCATTGATTACAAACTGAATACCATTTACTCACTCAAAACTGGAGAAAATATGATAAATAGATGTCTTCTTGAAGGATTGTCTGTATTGACACCCCACAAAATACCTGGAAAGCTGCATTTCTGGAGCAGCATCACATGATTGAATCCTTCATTGCAGAACCCCCTCTACTATTATAGTGCCCCACTCTCCAGTCAATGTACAGATCTCTCCAGGATGGGCCACCAGAGCCTTTCTACAGCCCTTTGAGGCAACCAAGCACTCTCAGAGTGGTGGGAGACTAAAGGGTTTGATCCTATATGTGAAGCTTTTGAGGAAGTTTCATGAATAAAAAGCCTAAAAGCCATTGTGAAATTGCCCATAGGCTCCATTTAGACTATGCCCATTGCTGGTATGCTTACCTCTTGCTGCTTGAAACAGAAAGAGTACTTTCCCTAAGGAAAGAAATGCCACCCCCTTTCCCCCTTATTTTTAAGTAACAAGCAGCCACAAAGCTCCCATATTGTGAGCATTATTGCTGCTGTGTGTTCTAATGAGAGTGCAAGAAGGAAATGTAAGCCTGTAAAGCTTGCTTTTTGTCTTGAGCAGATAGTTACCTTAATTGCACAGCATGTCCTGACTCCAGTCCTCTCTGCTTTGCTCATGCTGATCCATTACTGCATAACTGGCAGGTCTGCCTGAATGCGGGAACGATAGCTGTGCTCTCTCTCTGATGAGAAATTGGAGTCAAATCAGTGTGGCGATAGAAATCTTAAAATAATAAAAATAAAAGGAAGAAATGCAGATGATCAAGGTTTTGGGGGGTGAGTGGGGGAGGTAAAAATGGCTAAAGAAGACTGTGCGTTAATCACTCTCCATAATACTCCTGAAAGTATCTTACCAAGGCATTCATTTTAATCTTTACAAGTAGAACAATTGCTGCAGGTTGCATTTAACTTTTCACCTCTGATGAAGAAGCCCATTCCTGGAGTTAAAGATCTTCCTGTTTATCCTTTCCATGGAACTTTGCTCTGTTTCATCTTTGCAGTGCACTGTGTGGTTAGATTAGCTGGAAAAATAAAAAAGAAGAAGAAGAAAAACAGAAGAGTGGAAAAAAAAGTCACTGTTTGTATCATAAGTTGTTTGTTCCACTTGAAAGGGAATCTTTGCCCCTTTCATGACATGATGTGCTTTATGTATCCCACCCCCTCAACAGAGCATTCAGGCTTCAACAAAGGAGCTGCAGCCCTATTTCATCCTCACCAATCAAGGACAACTTGTTTAAATGCCTTCCCTATGCTGGGGAAGCTTGTCACTTGTGACTGCCTAAAGACATGTCAAATTGGGTTAACTGCTGTCTCGTTATTATTGGCAACTGCACTGTCTGATAATCAGACTGGTTCAGATAAGCCAGTCTGCTGAAGAGGCAAAACACTGGGAAATCCCTCTTTGGGACAGATTATAGCAAAGCAGGGCATTGTTTCAAATTAAAGTCTCCAGATGGGATATTGGCAACTGTAGGGTATGTGACTAGCAATACCCAAGATGGTCTGACAATCAGCATCATACAGCATTGTTTTCTGCCTGTCTCAAGGTTTCCCAAATGTGACTGAGAATCCCCCTCCTGCAAGGTGAGTGGTTGCCACCAGTATTTGGAAGATTAAGATCTACCAATGGCAAGCCATTTTAATTCCCTTGCAGACAGATCAAAGCAGAGAGACCATGCAACTGCCCAATTGCCTGTGGCCCAAAATAGCACACAGATTTCGGGTTAGGATTAACATCACTCAGGCTGCTTGTTACAGCTAATGCATCTGGGAGGCTGATCCTTACTTCTCCTTTTTCCCTCATCCCCCACCTGCGGCTCAATACTCAGGAGTGCTTTGCTGCCATTTGAGGTGCTCAGGTGAGGGACCAGGTTTCCAGAACAGCTTATTCAGGGTTGTATAGTGCCTGCCACATGCCTCTGAAAATCATTCTGGAAAAATGTGTGGGCAGTGGTGACTTGAGGTGATTTGGAGTGAAGAATATGTGAGGACCTGGACCTACTTCTTCCAGTCGCGTTTAAAAAACCCGTATTCTGTTAATGGCAGATGTTGCTTTCAAAAACATAACACTTCAAAGACAGCAACTTAAAAGGCATTATGAGCCACAAACCATGTAGTTTCTCTGTTCTTAGGGGAGAAACCCTTTTGCCAGTAGGATCCACCATGTTATTGGGGAAACTGTATCTGTTATTCAAAGTGCTTCTCCTTATGTTCTCTGCAGTGAGCAGGGAAAAGATGGAGAGCAGCTGCAGCCCCTTCTTGTGGCCTTGCTTTTGCCCACAGATGCCTCCTCAGATGCTGTAGGATTAGGCAGGTGGAAGCAATTCAGGCCCCTGTCCTGTACAGCAGACCTCCCCCAAGCTGTCTTCCGTTGCCTTTGAGGCCTACCTGGGTACAGCCTGCCCACAGTCTTGAGAAAAAACAAACCCAAATACTTAAGTGAAGAACTTCTCTGTGCCCTGGTCAATGTGGCTTCCTGTTCATCAGCCATACAAGTGGTCAACACAGCTGGCATATTTCTGCACTAGTTTCAGTCCTCACATGGCTCGTACCTGAGGCAGTGGCTCATCCTGGTATTCAGAAAGGCCTATCCCTGCAGGTGTCCCTGCATCTGATTTCCTCTGTGCAGTTTGCTGCAGTTTGACACCTGTGGTCACAACCTGCCTCCTCAGGGCACCAAATTCTGGTTGCTAACATACCTCTGGGCCAGCTGAGAACAAGAAATAACCAGTAGCCAAGGACTACTTCCCATGCAAGACATTAGTGTAAAAGATTAAACTCCCACTTGCTCTGTTAAAGCAGGAGCATCCCAGACCTTTGCACTTCTTGCAGATCAAACCCAGTATGAACGCTGAACATTTTGGCATATGAACCCATGGGACTAGGAATGTCCTTGCTGCTCCCAGGCACCAGTGCTTTGTCAGGGAATAAATTCAGATTGGTGCCCCCAGGGAACAGCGTTTTTTTCTCTACTGTCTTTTTTAGAATGAAGTACAGAAAAATTTTGAAGATGTATCTGGAGATAAACTGCAGAGTAAATAAGAGCTAGAAAGAGGGAGTCTGGGAGAAGGCGCTGCTTGGCTAAGAAGTTGAAACAGTCAGAAGAGGGATAGCTGGTGGTGTGGTTGGGTGTGCATGTGGGTGCGCTTGCTTATGTGACATATGTGTAATTTCTCGCCTCCTCACTTATCCCTAAATAAGTCAAAGATTTTTCTTGTGTGGTGGGATGACACTGGGCCTGCTATCTTATTGCCAACTACCTGGTCTGAGCTTCACTGTGGTAATGAAGACCTAAGTTGGGTTGATCAGGGTTTCTTCCTGGGTGTGTATGGTCATTATAGTGCGCCACAGCACAATGAAGGACAGTGGGTGCCTGAAATGGGGGAAGATAATTACTTTCACAGCTAGAAAATATTAGCTTAATCCTAAAGCTGATGAGATGATGTATTGGAGCTGTGTTCAGACTATGTGGTGTAACACACAAATGACATAAACCTTTTGCACTCATCTGGGTCATTCTTTGCCTGGGGCTGGACCCTTGGAGCACTCAGCAGCACCCCAGGAAGAAATGTCCCCAGGCAACATGCAAGCAGCACATTGCAAGCATGAAAAAGTGTTTTGCCACATTAAATGAATTCACTTCAGTCTTCTTGATAGACCCTTTCTGATCTAGTCACTAGGGGGTACATTGCTTCTTTGTATGAACACACCTCTCACATACTATTAATAGGAATTGCAAGTGTTTGCATCAAGAGAATCATATACTCCTAAATAAATTATAAATGGCCCTGAAGTCTTTCAATGCATCACCACTGTAACTTCCAGAAGGCCAATAGTCCCTCAAAGGCTGGAGAAAAATGTGTATGTGGATACACTGTAAGTCCTAAGAACAGGACTGGGTAAGGGGCTCAAGAACGATTTTGGTGCTCTTTCACTTTAGTGTGATGCCTGTGGCAGTTTGCCCCACTGCAATGGCTGAAGCTCAGGTCTCTGACAAGAGGTTTGAGATGGAATTTCAATTTCATAGTCCATCTGGAAGAGCTCATTGAAACTTTGAAATATGGAAGCCTCAGCCCTTCAAAGGAGTGAAATCGATCGATATTTGTCCAGAATTGTGGAAATGCCATGCCACTTATTTGTAAAAATAGTAACATTTCTAGCATAAGGTCATCTAGAGGATCTTAAATCATTTTGCTTTTTCCTCTTTGGTCGATGCCCATCTCTCTGTTCAAGTCAGTACTTTACCTGTAAAAGCAGCAATTCTCCAGCTGGGAGACATAGTGATATTCTGAATTCCCTAACCAGGCTTAACTGTAGTTAATACAAGAGACATTTTTCCTCTCCTTTATTTCTCTGTGTTGTAGCAAGATTGGCAGCTCAGCCTCAGGAACTACAGCAAAAGAACACAGGAAACCTGCTGGTTCTTTTCACTGAGCATGACGCTAAAAAAGGCAATCCAAAGCCACAAACAAGATGCATGAGCAAGTGCACAGTTAGCAATTTCACTTCAAGATCTCTAGGCTGGTGTGCACCTACTTCCCTGATACCCCCACACAGTGTAGAGCAATGTCCTGTGAGCCGCACCAAGGTCTCACATAGTCCTCTTAGTTCTGGTGCAGTACCACATAGCTCAGTCATCTCTGCTTTCCTCCACCACAGCTCACAGCTCTGAGGTGAAAGCTGGCAGGCCATCACCCTGATGCTGGTTTTGCACCATTACTCCATGTCAGTGGTGGGACCTCTCCTATTTTGACATTACACCCATTTCCCCTTTAGATGAGGACATGTTTTCAGCTTTTGGTGTTTATTTTTTTCCCCAAAGCTTCCTTGGATGTGCAATTGGGAGGCTGCCAAATTCGTTAAGGAAACATTTCTTTGTTGATCCTACTGTGTATGCAAAAGGTACAAAACTAAAGGTTCAAAATCTGTAAGACAAAACATCAAATTTATGAGAATTTTCAAGTCAGCTTCATGATTCTGACTCACAAGGTCTAGATATCTTGGGCTGATGATGTATGCAAGCCTCTTTCTGTGCCCTCCACCCCTTGCCTTTCACTCCCTCTCCAGCCCCAGCTTAAGAGCTGACTCAGGAATTTAACAGTTGGGCTCTCTGTTGTTACTGCAGTCATAGCTAGCTGATTCTGGGGATGGGGTAGCTGCGTAGTGGTCCGGGTACAAATTTCCACAGCTATTTTTAAGCTGCATGCATTACCAATAAACTAATAGCTGATGATTTCTGAGTAGCTGATTTGTCTCCGTGTTCATAAGTAGGGATGCAAACTGGATCCATTTTTCCAATTTCATTTTGCATGCTCTTATCCTCTGATGTGGACTAGAGGCCCTGCTATAACTCAATTTAATTTGAAACAACCAGCCTATTAGGACTGGAAAGCTGACTACTGAGTCAATTATGTTCAGAACATTTTAAAATGCTACTCTGTCCTGGTACTAACCCTCATGATGGCTTCATGCCACCCACTGGCAAGATGCAGCAGGCAACGAGAGTAAACATAATGCATTTTTTTAACATGAGATGAGCTCCCTGGGGGTATTTAGTGCAGATTCAGACCTTAACAGAATCTGGTCTAACTCCACTGATTTTCATGGCATCATTCTTAAATTATTTATCTTCAGTGGAATAAAAAATGGTTTTTTTTGGAGGTGTACTTCAGGCCCTAGAAGTGACATTCTTGTTCACAAAGGTGCAACTCGCCCAGCACAGGAGGTCTGTGCAACTGCACTGGGCTATGAGGAACAGCTTTAGGGGCAGTAAGCCAGTAGTCTTTCTGTGCACAAGGCCAATTAAACAAAAGAAGAATTGTGGAAGTAATGAAGAAAATATTTTTTAAACTGGCAGAACCCCATCTTATGTGAACATTTTCTAATTTATCTCAATCAGGCCTTGATGTTGCTAAGAAGAATCTTTAGTATACATTTCTAGTTAAAATTTTTGCACCGCTTGAAAAACAAGGTCAGTGAAATCACGGTGAAAAAAAACCCCGAAGAACAAAACCCCCAAACAAACTTATGAAATTGATGGCAAGGCAGTACTTTTTCACATAGCACATGAGCAGAACTCATTGCCGCAGGATGTCTTATGGCCCAGATGTATAAAAGGTAAAAAAGCCCAAAACACCAAATAAGGTGGAAGGTTCCATCAAGACCTATTGAAGCTGATGGCCTTGGTGTGACATCTGGGTCAGGAAATCATCAAACCACTGATGGCTGAACTGTGGTAAAAAACTCAACAAGGATCATGTTTTCCATTAGCAGCTGCCAATAGTCACTGACAGAAAGAATACTGGGGAGGATGAAACTCTAATGTTGTAAGTATGGATGCTTTACATTCTCCTGAGAAAAAGATGGAGATTCAGATGGAAAGCTGGTGTTCCTTTATGCATTCTGGTGCTCTTTGTCAGTATCAGAGCACCTAACTAATTTATCTTTACCTTATGACACCTGGTTCTGAATATTTAGTTAATTTTGTGACCCAAAATATCAGTGATTTTTACAATCACACATAAAATCAGTTAGCTGTCTAAATTCAGAGTCCAGGAGGACATTCATGGTTATGTTTCTTAGAGAGTTTGGAATACTTCATTCTTGCAAAAGAATATGTTTTAAATTATCTGTTTGTTTGTTTATTTTTGGTTTTTGTTAAGAAAACAACTTTCTAACTTTGAAAACTTTCTGGCCAGAAAGCTGCCTAATGCCCAAGTAGCCTTACTCCATAAATATGCTGCATCATAACATCTTTGGAGAGAACTCTTGCAGATCAGTGTGGATCTAAACATTAGCCCAGACTCTGTGTAGCATAAAGATTAATATTTAGCAGCAGAAAGAAGATTATTCCTTCTCTCTCCCTCTAGTGCCCTATCTAGGCAAATTTTCTGTGCACCCAAAATGGCATACTCCTATTTGGCTTCTATGGGAGTTAGATATCTGTAAAGACTTATGTTGTGAAGTCTTAGAATTAAATGGCCTGTTACTGGCAGAAGTAATTTTCCTAGGTGATTTTTAGTCTGATACAATTCCTTCCAAGGGATGGGAAGGATCTCTTTGGTTTAGGCACAGTTAAAATTCCCTTTATCATGAATCATTAGGAGAGATTCCCAAAGCTAAATGGTAAATTATACCATAGTCTCATTGGCAGATGAATAAAAGAGTTAGGTTGGCTTCCTTTTCTGTTTTTCAGTAACCTTTGCTGAACTTAATTACCTGTAAATTATACAACCCCAGGGCAGGTTGGACAATAGAGAGGAAACCAAGTTAATATACATACACTTCTCTGTTAGCAATCACAATAGTGATCAAGCAGCCTGATTAATTTTGACTTGGCATTAGACAGCAGCTGGCATTTAAATTCTCCAGCTTGTTTTCATCACATCTCTGTGACTCAGACCTACTGCATAGCTCTTCCATTCAGCCGTTGACAATAAGAACCGAATAATCCTTCTTCAGAGGTTGGGAAGGCAAAGAATAGGCAATGCATGCTGTGTTTGGCACTGCATGGAAAGGATGGGGAAGGGCCCTCTTTTAATGCTGCTGGGCAGTGGCACAGCTGTCACTACATATAGGAGTGGGGCACAGCATGGGAGAGAGGCTGCTGATGCACTGACTCCTTGTTGCTGACAAAGTACCAGCCAGGTCTCCCCACATGGGCTCCCCCAAACTCTAAAGGGGCAGTATGACCACCATCAACCCTATAACAAATTCCCTCCATTCTCCCTTTATCCATTCCCTGCTGACTCAGAGCTGTGAAATTTGTCACAGTATTTTCTGCTTACCATAAAACATGAGGAAGTGCATTGATCTGATGTATGTGTCTGGAATAATCAGTTCTAAACAACGGAGCATTAAACATTTACAGACACCATGTGGACTGGAAACTCATGCCTTTTCTCAATGGAGAGCTGGAAGCCTCCCTGCTTTTCTCTTGATTAATGTAAGGCTTTTATTTCAAGTTCTGCCTAGATTTTCACTACCTTAGTTTATAGGAAGTCTGGTTTATATCACTTCTGGAGCTCTTACATTTTCCCAAATCTCTCCTCCTCTCTCATGCTTCTACTAAGAATCTCTTGGTGCTGAAACAGTTTAGCTTTGGGTGAATACAAAGATATGGGAAGAATACTCGTGCTGATATATAACTTTTCTGAAGGTGTGGTGTAAGTACAGTCCATGTCATTCCATGATAGTTTGACTGTAGCTCTGGCTGTCATTTGGCCAGAGCAGTGAATCACCTGGCCAGTGCATGCTGATGAGCAATGTGCACTTCAGTCCTTTGCTTTCCTCAGTGCAGTCTCTTCTGGTGTGGTCTGCCAGATGCAGTTCTGTGCTTCTTTAAAATGTGCCTTTTTCTGATCCTTTGGCCTTGCCCTGCTGCCAGGGGAAGGACACCCAAGGAATCTGGGGGAAAAACAAGAAAGTAAATTGTTCCATCAGAGCACACAGTGACGAAGTGGGGGCTCTGCTCTTCTTTAACAGATCATTACAGTGGTTTGCAGTTATAAAATAATCCCCTGCTTCCCCAGTGCATGCAGTGCCCTTGGAGGTGGTTGGGTTGAAGTTTTTAAGTGCTCATCTGTGGTACCTCTAATGTGGGGTTCTGTGTTCAGGGTAGGGATTGTGGGGTTTAACTCCACGAAGCACCCAGGTGTTATATCAAGAGGAACAAAGTCTTGCATTTCTTTCAGTGCCCCTCAAAATTATCAGTGCAGATGCAGAGCCAGGCTGCAGGACCAGGGACCTGGTGTGGTCAAGTGCAGATGCTGCAATGGCTGGGGTCGACTCCAGCATGATCCACCTGGTGCTGCCTCTCTCTGTGTTCTGCTTCAGCTATATACACCAGCAACAATTTGGCACTGTCCCTCCTCTCAGTGGTAGCCAGGGGCTGAGTGTGGTTCCCTCGCACCTGCAGTGCCCCAGGCAGGTGGCTGCCTTGGCTGGCAGAAGTGGCGTTCTCAAATATCTGGTTTTGTTCCAGGGTGGTTCTCTTTCCATTGATGCGAGGTCATTGTGCCCTTGACGAACATCTATTTTATAATGTACTTAAACAAACCAGCCCTGCAAAGTTCACCATGACTGGCTGACACCTGGCTCACCTCCAACAAACACGGTGAGATGAAAGCAGTGATGATGGGCTTCTTCCTTTACATTCTCAAAGATCTTGTCCCTTTGACAAATGAGCTCCTTGTACCAGCCAGTGGAGAAAAGGACTGTGGTACAGCATGAGGAAGGGTGGAGGGGATAGACAAGAGATGGAAACAGGGATCTCAGAGAAGAATACATGTGCACTATAGAAATAAAGATCATACTGTTTACGGAAAAGAGCTATGGAAACCCAGCATGAATGTCGAGAACCAGATGCTCAGCCTGCCATCACTCCACGCCAGCCTGGGAGTAGATGACAGCTGGAGCACCAGAGTTGCACGGGGCCTGCTGGGACCCCAGGGCTGACGTATGTACAGACCATGTAAAGCATCTTTGCTCTCTAGTGTCATTAACCACGGTTTGCCCCAACCAAAGATCAAATGTCCTGAATCATTGCAGAGCTCTGCCTTGACACTCACAACTTTATCCTTGGGATTTATTGTAGGTAGCACTGCACGTGCCCAAGTTGATGCCAAGTCAAATTCAGAGGGCTGCCTCCCCTTTTGCAGGAGAGAAGGTATGGTGGTAGGTCTGATTAGGCAATGATGGGGGAGTTAGTCCAGCATCTCTAATCAATGACTGGATTGCTTCAGGATAAATAAGGCAAGGGGCTGGTCCTGTTTTTCAGTGTGTTTCTATACTGGTGGTTGTTGTTTTTTTTTAGTTCCACCTTCTCTATGAACACAATAGCCCTAAATAGTCATGAACATGACTAAAAGATGTGAAATCATGCAGTTTGCTTTGAAATTACCTCAGCAAAAATCGCTTGGCGTTTGTTTCGTTTTTAAAGTTCATGCATTCTGAGAGCATGTTTGGAACATTTTTCAGCCCCTCTCATCCCTCCATTTCTGAGAAACATGGAAATACACACGTATCTTTATCTCTGAATACAGAATATAGTGCCTTTCTCAATATAACAAAATACTGCAAAAACCTGTGTCCAGACATAGGAACACCAACTTTGCTTGCTGTGTTTTGAGGGTTACCAGCAAGTGTCCTTAAGACTAGACAGCTTGTCCCTCAAGAGGACAAGCTGAAACCTTGACCTTATGTGTAGCCTGAGGCCTATGTCCAAAGCACGCAAATAGTTACAGGAAGGTGTGCAGAAGCCTACAGCTGGGTAACCCTCCTTTCCCAGTCAGGAAATTGACAGGCTGTTCTGGAAGTCCTCAGGTGGTTTTTGTCTTTAAATATGGTATAGGTCTATCCATTTCACCTAAATAGAGCACTCTTAAAGCCATACAGGTTAGCTAGTTTGAAAAACCCTCATTGGGGGGGGGGGGGGGGAGGTACTATGGCTGAACCAAGAGTAATATTTCATACTTTTTGCAACTGTGTGGAAAGTCAGTCAATGTGCTTTAGGGGAATTTTGCAGGGAGCGTGCCTGGCTTTCATGGTGGTCCAGCCCAGTGCAGAGGGTCAGCTCTTCCAACACATACTCTTCCTACTTGACTTGAGGCACAACAACTTTAGCAGGCATGGAGTAGAGGTGGTAGTGGTGTGGGGTGACACAGTCCGAGTCCTTTCTTGGAAGTGGGTCTGAGGAGACCTATAAACTATACGCTGTGATAGGTTGATTGAAAATAAACCCATACCATGTGTGTAAAGTTACAGGGAGGTGTTGAAAAGCAAATGTCAACATCTGTGCCCTAAAGAAAGCTTTGCTTGTTGGTAGAGACCTTGCAAACTATCCTCTTGTGTGTAGTCACTGAGCTAGGATCTGTAGTCAACGCAAGATGATACATGTGTGTATAATGAAAGAAGTCATCTTTCAGTGCCCCTAAGGTCCCAGCTGGCAGGCTGTGCTGCCAGGATGGAGGCTGAGGGCTGCCTAGGGCTGTGTAGAGCAGGACTACACCAGTCACTTTGAAAAGAGCTGCTTTGCTTCTGCATCACCTAAATAAGCTGCTTTCTGCAGGGAAGCAGCAGGGATCCTTGCTGCTGGTCACTGCTGCTGCAAGCCTAGTCTCTGAGCCTGCTGTCATCTTGTTCTTCCCCAAACCCTGTGCTTGCAGTCTCCATCTTATGAGCATCTGAATTCTAAGGGCAAAAGCAGCTAGGGTGAAAGTTGCATGAAGGCTCACTGTGAGAAATCGAACAGCACTGTGCCTTACACACTTAGCACCATCTTTTTGTCCCCCTTTCCTTAAGTCCTTCTCACAAGCAGCTTCAGCATGTTCATTTTTCTTTTGTCCTTGTCAGCCACAAATAATTAAAAATGATGAAGACTTTTGTGTAAATCACTCACAGTTCTGGGGAAAAAAAGAAAGTAGAGGCAGTCTTGGGAGTGAAGGACTCTAGCAAAGTACTTAAAGCAGAGATTTAATATGAAGCATATGTGCAGTCCTGCTGAAATCAAATAAAACACATTGAAGGCTTTTCTGAAGCACAGCCAGCTCATCTGCCCAGGTGCACCATGCAAAGGCAATGGGAATTACTCACATTCTTAGAATCAAGCAGTGTGCTTTGCCCCAGTGGAAGAGGGTGTATGTGCTCTGTTTACAGGAAAGTGGCTTCAGAAACAGCTTGCAGAAGTATTCTGTGCTGTTTCACTTATGCACATTGTCTGGATAACTGTATATGCAGATGCTTGGGCCTTGTGCATAGGCAACAGATAAATTTCACCCAGGTATTGGCTTCAAATGGGCCTTCAGGTGGAATAATATCTGATTTCCCAGACCTTGTTTTCCTTAAGTAGTGACGCTACTTCCAGATTTCTGAAGCAACAGTTAATGCCACAGCATGATACATAATACATAGTAGCAGGAGGATGGTAAGTACTTAAAAGAGCTAAAAAGTTATAATGAAAGAAGGTGAGATATCCATGAATAACAACAAATGTGATATTGGACTATTTTCTTTTTTCCATTTAATTTATAAAAACAAATCTAAACTATTAGTGATTTCTTCCATTCTGCTCCCAGAAGATGTTCACCATTTCCTGTTAAATCCCTTAGGCCACTGAAGGTCCTCACAGGATGTCACTCTCCCCAGTCTACCATCCTCAGTTGCCTGAATGACAGCTTAATCCTTGTGGTACAGATCCTGGCTCATTGTGCTGTTGACAATATGTAAGCCCTGAAGCACTATTAAATGCTGGTAGGCCATATACAGGCCTACATTGGGTAGATGAGAGAAAACTTGTATGAATACAATTTAAACTCTGATGTACCATATGTCCTGGAAAAAAAATAATGTGGGCATTTGGAAGATTTATAGGCTTGAAAGGTTTGGGACCACATTTAGCTGATGGCTCTGATTGAGCTCAGTGGCTGGGTGGGCTTCATCAGGCTGAAGAAATATTCACTTTGTGGGTGGAAACCTCTCTCCTCAGGATATGGTCAGGAAAGAGAGTTGGTATGTTACTCTTGTGTTTGGGCAGTGGAAACAGGTACACCTGCCTATGAGGATGTCTGCCCTGGCTTCCCATTGGCAAGTGTAGGTGGCCCCACTTGGGATGCTCTGCTTGTCCCAGGCAATAGCAAAAGGAGCGGAGCTGGGGCTGAGCACACTCTCCTGGTCTGGGGAATTCTGAGACCTTGGTTTCATTAGTCACAAGAGGAAAAAGCATGTTATCTCCTCAAATGACAGAAAGCAATTGGGTTAATTTGAAAAATGTTCAAGCCTCTGTCTTATCTCATCTTGCAATTCCTTCTGTCCATATTTTATTGTGTGCTTTGTGCAGACACACTGGAATTAAAAGAGAAAAATAATTGATTAGTGTAATAACATGGAGCTTATTTTAAACCCAGGCAGCTGAGACCTAATGATGAAACTGTCTTTGAGGTACTCATGATTTTGCCCAGATAAAGCCGTAAAGGAGCCACTTCAGATCTGATGGGCCAGACTTTCATCAAAGCACATTTCACGGTGCAAATCATTTTTATGCATTTGCTCCTCTCTGTGACACAAGTTGGAGATCTGGCCTGTTCTCCCCAGGGGTGAACTGAGGAAGAAAGAAAAAAGAAAAGGAGAAGACATAGCAGGTCCCCTGCGATAGTGTGGGGTATGGCAAGATGGATGCCAAGGAAGCTAGCCTCACTGGACATGAGCCATCCCTCACATGGCTTGGAAACACCAAGGCCCACTGAAGTATGGCCCCTTGTGCACTCAATGTAACTGGGATTGCACCTGTGGAGCTAAATTTGTGTATTGCCTTAAGTTTTCAGATTTCCAGCTCTGAGGTTACACTAAAATCCTTTTCCTTTAAAAGACAGAAATGCAGCTAATGATCTTTCCCTTTCCTCAGAACAGCA